TAAGCAAAATGGTTGCTAAGTGAACATATGGGGGAGAGGCAGAGAGACTGGGGAGATCATTGGTTGGTGCCATCTCATTTAAGTAAAGCTTTTTCATGCAGCTATGCCAGCATTACTCCCACTTCGGCATGCATTTTTGTTGGGTGCCTAAAATATGGTCATAAATGCACACATTGGTTGAAAAATATTTTTTTAACTACTAACATATTTGTGAATGGTCACTAACTAAAATTGTCACTAAAGAGGAATGGGTGTATTCATAGCTTTGGAATTCACAATATAGCTGAGAAGTGAACACATTGTATGACTTTTACTACAGAATGGAAGCTGGTTATAAAGCTTCCATGGAAGAGCTCTATTAAGGCTCCATAGAAAAATACTAGAAGCAGAACTGATCTTTTTTCATAGAAAGAAGGAGAAGTGGTTAAACAAGGTGAAAAACAAACCTTTGGCTCTAGAAATGTGAGCTAGGAAATGAACAGTATTGGATGGAACATGAGAAACAGACTCAGAATCAAGCAGACCCAAGACAATGATTGAAGATGTGTCACATAGGGTTTATTTAGGTAGGCAAATCAATAGTAAAAGTTTGAATTCACTGTGGCAGTAACAGATGTTAACCCAAGAGATGACAAAAGAGTTTGTTTTTAGGAAAATCAAAAGGGTGCTAGACAAAACCACTTAATTCATTGGATCTTCCTTCTAACTCAGGGATCCCCAACCCCCAGTTTGTGGATCGGTACCGGGCTGCAGCATGCCAGCAACCGGGCCACACAAACAAGCAAAGCCCCATCTGCGGGATGCAGGCAGTACAAAAAACCATGCCCCCTCTGGTCCGCGGAAAAACCTTTCTCCACGTAACCGGTCCCTGGTGCCCAAAAGGTTGGGGACCTCTGTTCTAACTGATTATTAAAAAATCTAAAGAGAGTGAATTAGACAAAATACATTGAATTGATTCAGAGCAGCAGATTGTCCTACCATTTACTTAATTTTCTATGTTCCTTTTGCCAATGGATTGTTACAGTTGTATATAACAAAACATATTACTACATTAATTCACCTTCATCTTTCCATGCAAGCTAAAAGTCAAATTAATTATCACAAACAATAACAAATAAAGATAGATCTGATTTCAGAAAATAGGATAAAACTGACCTAAAACCTATTTAGCTAAACAGCTTAAGCCAACCAAATCTTGTCAAGGTGAGTCACCTTGCAGGGAACGTGGGCAGTATAAAAATTTAATACATAAATTAAAAAACTTGATAAATAAAAGGTGCCTGTCCTTCAGTCAATTTTAATTAAAAGGTTAGTATTGATATGGAAACATTATTAATAAAACAGATTAATTTGCATTTGTATTAAATATGTGAGAGTCAGTAATTATCTTCCAAAGAATTTAATCAGTATTCTTGTAATACAGAATCTGATTTTTCACACGCAAAAGATATAAGCATCTGAAGACATTGCCTGAAGATAGGACCTTGAATGAGGATATATGCATTAGCTACTGAATTGCATGATACTGAAATACTTATAATATCCATACCTGATAATTCTGCCCTTTAAAGGAATATTGAAATCCTGGAACACCTGGAGGGCCCTAGAATGAGGGGAGAATAATCAAGAATATAATTTGTCAGGCTTGAATTTTTCTCTTTCTTAGAAATATACATTCTGTGAATCTGTTAGTTGATTGAGATAGCTTTAAGAGAAACACATATCATTTTATTATTGGTTATGTTTCATGGAAAAACATATGTATGTATTTATATATTTGCTACATTTATTAACCAACCCAACCCAACCACACAACTCTGATTGGCACAAATTAAGAATAAAGGGGGGGGAACTCTCCAATTAACACTGCCTCCTTCAAAACAGGAAAGGAAACCACATATCTTTGTACAAATATATAAATACCTAAATGGAGACATCATTATTTTTAACCAATGAGTGGAACTAAAGTTTTGATGAAACAAGAAAAGTATTAACAATGTTTTGAAATATGTCAAGAGAAGATGACATTCAGGCTGCTGGAAGAACTTTTTCTCCCCAACATGGAGAAGGCCTACTAACTTGTGTATATATCATCTTTATTTTTTATTTTTTATTTATTTCTTTTTGAAATGCAAACCATTAAGTCCAAAACTAAGTACAGTATTGTACAATTAGGAAAATGTTATGTGATATCTTTGACTTCAGGGCAAGGATTGGGCTCTATTTTTGGTGAGAGCTCCACTATATTTCCTGCATTAAAGGTTGCATAGCACATTTAGAACATCTTGAGTTGGAAATACAGTTTTAACTCTAATTCACATGAATAAAATATAAATTTTTTTTCTGGTAGGAAGGGATAATGAGGGGTATTACTAGATTTATTGACAATCTACTTTTTTTACTTAATTTGTAAAAGAAATCTGAATTGTTAGAACTGAAAATCACAATTAAATACAAATACATCAACAGCATATAGAACATTAGAATTGCTATCAATCTCAGAATAATTAGTTGATTCCAAATCTACAAGTTTTAAATCAACAATTGAATAACACTAATCATGTACTATTAGTTATTTTCAAGGACTCTGGAATAAGGGGTTAGAATCTCTCACATCAATTAATCAATGGCTAAAAAATTTAAAGAATGTTTCTTATGAAATTAAATTAAAACAAATTCAACAAAATATTCTTGTTCACATTAACTGGATACCCCAACGAATATTTTTAAAAAGCTGGCTATAAATGTTATAATATAGATTTAGTGTCCTGTTGCCCTATTTTAATTAGTTAATATGCTTTTAGAAAGATCACTGTGGTTTAAAGATGTGAAAGTCCATTTGAATTATATATTGAAAA